GTTCGGGCTTCGTGCTGTTGTGTTCAGCCTCCGGGGAGCCGCCGGGTGCTGTGGGCACCCTGGGGTGCTGCAGGTCCCCGCCGGGGCAGAGCGCGGGCTTGGGGACAGTGTCAAGACACCAGCTCCCGGTTTGCCAGTTCGCGTATCAAGGGCTGGGTCAGTGGTGCTGACTGGAGCCACCAGGGTCCCCTTTGACCGGATATTCTCGCTGAAAACAGGCCACCTGGCAACCCTACCCGCCACCTGCGGCTTCAGCCCCCGCAACCAGGGCCGACGGGAGTGGGGGAAGCCGGTATAAATTACCGGGGCCCGGCTTCCCCCCTCTTGTGGGCCCTGTTTAGCCAGCCCGCCCTTGCTGGGTGGCCCAAAATTTTTTTTTCACCAGGGCCCGAACCCACTCTTGACGGCCCTGCCCGCAACCTCATGAAAACGGAGTCGGGTTTGCGACCCCCAGTTTGAGAACCGCTACACTAGTTATTTGGCTCAGTATAGGGGTAATTGGGTAAAACTGAATGGCCTTTGGTGTGCAGGAGATCAGGCTAGATAATCAAATGGTCCCTTTTTGCCCTAAAGCTTATGAATGGTCCACATTTCATATGAGTCAGACATTGTGGGGTTTCCATTTCAAATCTGCTTCAGTACAGGAAGGGAAACAGTTCTTGGGCTATTTTTCGCTGATGCTGACTTTGTTTCTCTTCATGCAAGCAGACTCCTGCTGTTCCCGAACAAACTCCCGTGAGAGAACCCCATCATCACACTACAGAGATCTCCTTGTGGACAGTAGTGGCTGCCATCCAAGCCGTGGAGAGGAAGGTGAATTCCCATGCCACGCAGTTACTGAATCTGGAGGGGAGAACAGGGACAACCGAGAAGAAGTTAACAGGCTGTGAGAGGACAGCGATGGAATTTGGTAACCAGCTGGAGAGTAAGTGGACTATTTTGGGAACTCTGATCCAGGAGAATAACTTCCTGCAGAGGAGGCTGGAGAACCTGGAGAACCTGCTGAGAAACAGGAACTTCTGGATCTTAAGACTGCCCCCAGGCACTAAGGGAGAAGTCCCCAAGGTAACAATATCCCAGCTAGTGTTGAGGGGTAGAAACTTAGGTACTGAACGGGCTTTCCTATCTTCTGATATGCAGGCCCTTTAATTCACTTCATTACACCTTAGATGCAGGGAGTGATCTTACTGGCCTCAAGGTGTCCAATAACTCACTGGCTAGACCCAGTTGGTCCAGTCGTTTGTGGATAATGTACGGGACTGAGAGTCAGGACATCTGGGCTCTGTTTCCAGCTCAGTCACTGAGTAGCTGTTCATCTCCAGCAAGTGCTGAGGTGGAAAAGTAATACTAGGAGCATACTTATGCATCACTTCTGATGCAATTTGGTTGGAAATGATGCAAAGTGGTTGGAAACCTAGGCCAGAGCTGGCCCACCAGATGCTCTCAACAGACCACCTGCAAATGCTCCATTTGGTCAGTGGGAGGTGAGGGTGCTATGCGCTTTTCAGGAGACACATATCTTCTTGCTGAATTTGGCCCTGATTCTTCAGAGTTTCTGCTAAAATTAGTGCTCTGCTCTTGGTGAATCTAAGAGCACAGCACAAGATGCATTCCCTGCCATAAGGATCTCCTCCAAAACCTATGGAAGTCCGTGGCATTCACTTGAGTGAGCTTTGGGTCAGGTCCTTATAGTCTAAGAAAGAAGTTTATTATAACCCTTATGATTCCAGGTGCCGGTGACATTTGATGACGTCTCAGTTTATTTTAACGAGCAGGAGTGGGAGAACTTAGAGGAATGGCAGAAAGAGCTTTACAAGAATGTGATGAAGGGGAACTATGAGACCCTGATCTCTCTGGGTAAGGATCAGTTTTCATAAGAACGGCCAGACTGTGTCGGAACAAAGGTCCATCTAGCCCAGTATCCTGTCTTTCAACAGTGGCCAATGCCAGGTGCCCCAGAGGGAATGAACAGAACAGGGAATCACCAAGTGATCCATCCCCTGTTGCCCATTCCCAGCTTTTGGCAAACAGAGGCTAGGGACACCATCCCTGCCCAGCCTGGCTAATAGCTATTGATCCTGGCTAATAGCCATTTTACTCTCTGATTAGAAACAGTTCCTACTCTGGTTCCCGTTGCAGGTTATTCTCCAGTTTCTTTAATTTCCAGTGGATCACTACTTCCCAGAGCATTTGCAATAGACCACTCATACCATACGCCCTCCTATTTAAAACTAAATTGGAAACTGCAGATACAGATCTGGTCCAGTGCTTCCTAGCTGCAGATAACTGTTGTAGTTACATATTGCAGAGTATGTGAGTAGCCTGTTCATAGCAGTGATGCCGCTCTTATTCTAATACCTAGTTTTCCCAAACCCTTTGAAGCATGTTGAATGTCTCCCATTGACTTGAGAGGCCTTCAGACAGGAACGGCTTTAGCAAGTGCGGGGTCCGATTCTTGGGGCGGCACTTCGGATTGCCAGCTGGGGGAGGGGGGTCCATGGGGCTTGCCGCGCTCCGGACGGTGCTCTGGCCAGGAGAGCGGGGCCCCCGAAGACGACCGCCGCCGGGGTGAGTGCGTGGGGCCCTCTTAGGTGTGGGGCCCGATTCCAGGGAATCGGGCAAATTGGCCTAAAGCCGGCCCTGCCTTCAGATCAGGTTCAGCAAGTTTAAGCGACTTGTCAGGTCATGAAGGGAGTCTGTGGCAGAGCCAGGAATTGAACCCAGGTGTGCTGAGTAGCAGGCCAGTGCCTGAATTACAAGACCCTCCTTCGTTTCCTTAACGAGCCAGATCACCCCATCCTATGGTAAAATCAGACTTCTGCTGATTTAAAATCTCCGTCCTACCATTGTATCGGCTAGTTCTTTGAGTGTATGTCCATAGGGTGCTGCACTGTAGGATGCACACACGCCATGCGCTCTTGACTGGAGACTACCAAGCACTGTCTGCAGGCCCATGCCTGCCAGAGTGGCGCCTTCAAATGATGGGATATAGGGGGGCGCAGACCTGCTGCCACTCGGTTCCTTCTCAACCGCCTGCGGCTCGAGATGGAGTGGTTGCATATCCGCTGGTTCTCGGCTTCCTGCCTTTCTCAATATAGTGATTTATTCTTCGTTTTTTCCTATGTTTGTGTAGTTCTTTTATTTCTGCTTTTAGTTTTAATACTTCTGTGTTTAGAAGGAAGATTATCCCCTCCCCTTCTTCTTTCTATCGTCCACTTTGGTCCATTAACCTTCTGCATTATGCCAAAGATCCCGGGGTTTAAGTCCTGCCAAACCTGCCACAGGTCTTTTCCCTGTAGTGACAGATTCGAGTTGCTTTGGAGACAGCCACATTCTGTCAAGGTGTAAAATCAGTTCCGGGTTTAAAGGCAGGTCTCGGAAAGACAGAGAGGCTAGACTGAAGCTCCTTCTAATGGAATGCTCACTAGCCCCAGTGGGGCCTGCCTCCTCTTCCGTCCTCTCATGGATTGGTTACTGGTTAAAAGATGGGAAACAAAGGGTAGGAATAAATGGTCAGTTTTCAGAACGGAGAGAGGTAAATAGTGGTGTCCCCCAGGAGTCTGTATCGGGCCCAGTCCTATTCAACATATTCATAAATGATCTGGAAAAATGGGTAAACAGTGAAGTGGCAAAATTTGCAGATGATACAAAATTACTCAAGATAGTTAAGTCCCAGGCAGACTGCAAAAAGCTACAAAAGGATCTCTCAAAACTGGGTGACTGGGCAACAAAATGTCAGATGAAATTCAGTGTTGATAAATGTAAGGTAATGCACATTGGAAAACATAATCCCAACTGTACATACAAAATGATGGGGTCTAAATTATCTGTTACCACTCAAGAAAGAGATCTTGGAGTGATTGTGGATAGTTCTCTGACAAAATCTACTCAGTGTGCAGCGGCAGTCAAAAAAGCAAACAGAATGTTGGGAATCATTAAGAAAGGGATAGCTAATAAGACACTCCGACTGTCTAATGGGTTGCAATTCAACTTGTTTAGAACCCGCTGCGATGCGGCCCCCTCACAGAGTGACAGCACACTCCCCCTGGTCCTCAGTCTACAGCTATTGCTCTGCTGAAAGACATTCCCATACCAGAAATGTGTAGGACTACCACTTGGTCTTCCATTCCCATCTTTGCCAAGCATTCCGCCATCTTACCTACTTCTAGGGATGATACTACCTTTGGTGACGCAGTCCTCAGAACCATCTTGGACTTGCCTCCCCGTTGAGTTACTGCTTGGGAGTCTCCTCTGGTGGAGCACCCATAGGGACATATGCACTCAAAGGAGGAGGAGAGGTTACTTACCTTATAGGACCTTGAGTTCTTTGAGATGCTTTGTCCCTATGGTTGCTCCACCTTCCTTCCCCTCGGCTGTAGAGGCTCTGCTAGGTGGTAGAGAAGGAACTGAGTGGCGACGAGTCCACTCCTCCTTATAGGCTTTTGTTTGGAGGCATGAGGGGCTGCTCTGCGCAGGCCTGCAGACACTGCTTTGCTGTCTCATTGAGAGCACATGGCTGTGCATGTGTAACCTAGTGCCTAAAAAACTCCAACTCCCATAGAAAAGCAGCTGGAGACAGAGTTCAGTCTAAGGCTTTTCAGCAAGGATTGCACAGGGACAACCTCCCCACATTCAAGTCCCCAAAAGAACAAAAGGAATGAACTTAATTAAGTACCAACATTATAATTCTTATGATAAAGAAACATAGTGAATAATAATAACTTAATTTCTACAACATAACATGGCAACTTTATAATCCACATACACTGTCTTCACAGTTATGCATAAACAGAAATAAAGAAAACAAATTCAACAGCTCAGCCTCCACAGAAAGACAGTGAGAGGAAACTCAAAGTTCCCAAAAGTTTAGGTTGAATTCACCTGAGTCTGAGTCTTTGACCACCAAATCTGTACAGTCTGCGAGTCAAAAGCATCATCTTCCCTCCACTTGCTGGTAGGAATCTTCAGTTGGAATCCAGGCGGACTCTTCATCTTCCTCTGCTGAAATCCCGGCTAGCCAGTCAGCGGCCTGATTAACCCACCACTCAGTTACGTGTCTAGATTGAAAACAAACCCTGTTACAAGAAAATGCAAAATATAAATGACTCTTTCCCCAGGATCAAATTTAAAGAAAAGCTGGTGAATCATACTAGTTGAGTTAATGTAATTAAAAAACTTTGGATAAAATCAATACAACATTCACCATATACAATTACAATAAAATAAATTACTTTTCCTTCCCAATTTCCCCTTTTTTAAATTAATACTGGCTGTGCTTCCCTGTTGTCGGGTTAACAACATCACTAACCTGCTGCAAAATGATTCAGAGTTAGGGAAAACAACCTGCTTTCTGCTCCTGGGGTCAGCTTCTCCCAACCCACGCAGGGCACATGGCATCTGTTTTGAAAAAGGCCCTGCCTGCTCGCCCTCCTGGTGTCTGACCCCAGCAACAGGGAACCTATTGGAGCAGACCCAAAACTACCACACCCAATTCCAGAAACTTCTGGATGTGGAGTTCTAAATCTGCCTAGCAACAATGACCCCGGAACAACTTATTTCTCTCCCCTCCCCTCATAGATCTCTTAAAGCAGTGGTTCTCAACCGATTCACCAGTGTGGGCCACATATGTAGAATCATAGAATATCAGGGTTGGAAGGGACCTCAGGAGGTCATCTAGTCCAACCCCCTGCTCAAAGCAGGACCAACCCCAACTAAATCATCCCAGCCAGGGCTTTGTCAAGCCGGGCCTTAAAAACCTCCAAGGAAGGAGATTCCACCACCTCCCTAGGTAACGCATTCCAGTGCTTCACCACCCTCCTAGTGAAATAGTGTTTCCTAATATCCAACCTAGACCTCTCTCACTGCAACTTGAGACCATATGTAGTTCTCTATATGTTATGTGAGCCACATCCACGCAATATATAAACTACCTGTATGGCCTTCGGAATGTCACATGGGCCACAGCTGTGTGCTGATTGGGCTGCGGGTTGAGATCCACTGTCTTAGAGATATCTCCCTCTTAGGCAAGTTGGTTACACGCGCATCTTATGGTAAGCATACCCATAGGGATAAAACATCTCGAAGAACTCAAGTTACCGTAAGGTAAGTAAGCTCTCCATTTGTGTCACCTGGTAATATAGCATTGAACATTCTTCCCTGAACTGGCTCTGGCATATCAACTCCCCTTCTATGCGGCAACCCCCGGCTCTTCTGCTGGGGAGCACACCCAACCACCACAAGGAATGGTATCTTTTTACAGGATCCTTATTAGGTATTGGCCTCCTTTCAGATCTGTCATCAGCTCCAGCGAGAGTAGGGGAGCTGGTTTAAAATCATTTAGCATTATTTGTAATGAATATTAATAGGCCATGATGTTCCCTTAACATCTGCTACCATGAACAGACTACGCTGTTTCTAAGCCAGACGTTTTATCCCGCATTGAACGAGGGGAGGAGCCGTGTGTCGGGGATCAGCGGGAATCCCTGGAAGGACTGGAGGAAAGAGACCAGAAGAAAGAAGGGCTGGTGGAAAGAGAAATCCCTGTGGACCCCAGCGCAGGTGAGTTCTACCAAGTATCACAAACCCACACGTCCACTGTAAGGGCTTGAAAGTGCAGGGTTTGGGCGAGGGCTAGGAGAGTCGTCGGCAGGGCTGCAGAGACCAGCGCTTTGTTACTCATCATCCAACAAGCTGAAGGAAGATGAGAGGAGCGGGGCTGCAGGCCAGTGGGCCACGAAGCGCCCTGTGCTCAGCATATGAGGCATTGAACTCCCTGTTGGAAGTGCAGCTCCAGAGCGCGCTCAGGGGAACTGCTCTTCCTGGCTGGCAATAGGAGTCTCTCAGAGCCCTCAAAGTACCTGCTAGGCACGTCGTTTTCTTGAACTGGATTTGCACTTTAAAACCTACATGTCAGCCACGCACTGTCTCAGCCCCTGCCATGCCCCCTTTTCACCCTAGTCCCCGCCCAGGCAAAAGTGAACCCACTGGGACAAGAGGATGAAAAGTGGGCATGGCAGGGGCAGCTGTGTGGCCCTGCAGGCAACAATATTACAGGAGTGTGGGGATTCCTCAGGCTCCCCCGGGAAAAGCAATCCATTTCCTAGCAGAGATCTGCTTTCCTGAGGATCACCAGTTCTGCCTCTGTTCAGCTCAGGTTTAAAATCACATGTAAGTGCCTGGTGAATATGAATAAAACACTCCTTTCCCCTCCTCTCTGTCTTCATGAATAGGCCAGGCCGTTTCCAACCCTGACATCCTGCCCCGGGCTGAAGGAGGGGAGGAGCCGTGTATCAGGGCCCAGGGGGGTTCGCCGGCCAGAGAAATTCCCCTGGAGCCCAGCGCAGGTGAGCAGAGGGTTCGAACTCGGTGAGGGGACTGAACAGCCCCGGCCCATCAACTTGTATAACCGCATCTGTCTGGATGTGTTTGCTCATCTGTTTTTCCTTCTCTCCACAAAATGTCACTGATCCTTCCACCCATCCCAGACAGCTCCAGCCCCAAACCCTTTGCACAAAGAGGTCAATAGGTGTTGGTAAAACCCACTCGGATTTGTTTCTGTGTCTCATTAACATCATCAATCACCAGGTTCCACATCTGCCACTTCACCCTGGATCAAAGGAGAGGAAGAGCTGGATGCTGGGGACCAGCAGGAATTGGGGGAAGGAAGAATTCTCACAGGCTCCAGTATGGGTGAGCAATGGCTGGCTGCCCTTGTGCAAAGCTCCCATTGGCTCTGAGGGGGAGTGGGTGTGACGGGTTGCCCCCCCGCTCCGGGGTGCCACCTGATGTACTGGGGTACCATTGCGCCTGCCTGACCCACCAGCCTGGGTTCCCTTAACACTGTACTGCTATTCAGCCTGTCAAGCCCTTCCCCAGGCTTCAGGCTGGACTTTACCAGCCCGCATACGGGTAAGGACACTCCCAGGTGCAGAAACACAGACCTGGAGATCAGCTCTGCATGGGAAGGCTCAGCTAAGGAACTGCCCAGTTACTCGAGTGCCCACCCCCCTCTGGAGTGTAAACCCAAAAGAACTGTACAGCGTAAGTTCATAAAATTCGCTCTCTCCCTCAATGTAGAGGGAGAGATGCCCAGCTTTTTGCCCCCCAGTTATGAAGTCCACAAACTGGTTTTAGAGAAAAAAAAGTTTAACAACTACAAAAGATAGATTTGAAGCGATTATAAGTGATAGCAAATAGACCAAAGCACATCACCTTCGTAAATAAACAAAAAACGCAAACTGAGTTTAAAACACTAGATAGGATATAAATTAGCAAATTCTCACCCTGATAAACAGGCTGGCAGATTCTTAAGGCACATGTTGCCTTTGCTTGCCCAGGTTTTCATACTCAGGCTAAAAATCCTTCTAGCCTGGGACCATCACTTCCCACAGTTCAGTCCTTGCCCCCCAGGTGTTTCCAGGGGTGGTGGTGTTGCAGGGAGAGTGAGGTACCATCATGATGTCATTGTCCCCCTTTTATATCTTCTCCCCACTTGCTAGAAAGCTCTTTTCCTGTGACTTGGGTCAAAGAGTTCCTGTTGTACAGTGCTATCTCCGAGAAGATTCTATTGTACACAGTTCCTGGGGTAGTCCCTGGGTTTGTGTGCATTTCCTCAATAACCCATTAACATTGTTTGGCCTTTTTACTGTTGTACCTGAAAGGCTGCTTGTGGGTGTTTTCAACCCCACAACATGTCTCAGTAACACATACGTAGCCAAACTTCATAACTTCACATACAACAATAGCACATACAATCCAACGAGATAGTAATGTCTAGCAGATGAAGACTTTTAGAGTGATACCTCACAAGACATACTTTGTACAAAAGATATCCTAACTGCATGATAGTGGTGAATATTGAAGTGTCAGGGTGTCCCAGTGGGGCTCTAAGGGATTGAAGCACCTCAAAGGAGGTGAGTGGAATAGGTACCTGCGGCTCCTCAGAGCTCCTCCGCCACTGTGTGCTCTTACCTGTTCTAAGTGATCATTGATTGTTGTTTGTATTGCAGTCCCGAATCAGGGCCCCGTTGTGCTAGCTGCTGTATGAACACAGAACAAAAAGACAATCTCTTCCCCAAAGAGTTTACAGTCTAACAGTAGTAGGCATCCTTCAGTTTTGGGAGCCCATGAGTGTGGGCCCCTGAGAAGTAAAGAATTTACTCAGTTGGTTTTATGGCTGAAGAGACCCACTTGAGAGAGAGAATCTCTGCCGCATCTGTCACATTTAAATGACTCTTTGGGCTCATTGGCACAATGTCGAGCAGTTTGTTGTACCTTGGTTCTTGCCACTCTCAACACTTGTAAGGTTTTTTCATTTGGGTCTCTCTTGTAGTTGGTTTGGGGTGTGCGTTTAGCTTCTATAACTGGTGTCAACACACTGGAATATGCATCAAACCAGTCATTGGTCTTGTTTTCCTTCTTCCTAAAGACACAGAGCTGCACCGTAGATTGTGTTCTTCAGTTGCTCCTACTTCAGCTGGGCACTTGTGGCCCAATCACTGCTATCAAGGGCTTGTTGTAGTACAGGGGTTGGCAACCTACGGCACGCGTGCCAAACACGGCACGCGAGCCGATTTTGAGTGGCACACTGCCTTCCCGGTGAGAGGAGGAGGAGGAAGAGGGGCCGGAAAGCGCCACGCTGGGAGAAGAAACAGGGGAGGGGTGGAGCTTGGCTGCCACAGGACCAAGCTTCTGCCTCCTGTCCCCACAAGGGAGAGTGGTGGGGGGTGTCCCGGCCCCCTGCCCCACTCAGACCCCCCACTCACTGCTCTCCCCTGCAGGGGCAGGAGGCAGAAGCTTGGTCCTGTGGCAGGCAAGCTCCACCCCCCCCCCGTTTCCTCTCCCAGCGTGGCGCTTTCCGGCCCCTCTTCCTCCTCCTCCTCTCACCGGGAAGGCAGTGTGCCACTCAAAATCGGCTCGCGTTGCGGGTTTGGCACGCGCGACCGAGGTTGCTCACCCCCGTACTACAACAAGCCCCTGATAGCAGGGATTGGGCCACAAGTGCCCAGCTGAAGTAGGAGCAACTGAAGAACACAATCTACGGTGCAGCTCTGTGTCTTTAGGAAGAAGGAAAACAAGACCAATGACTGGTTTGATGCATATTCCAGTGTGTTGACACCAGTTATAGAAGCTAAACGCACACCCCAAACCAACTACAAG